TTTGTACGGACTGTGTGACATTATAATCAGTGTGTGTTTCTGTGTCTCTCCTCCGTGGACTGGGAGGTCTGTGCAGGTAGGGACTATGCCTTGTTTTCTGTGTCTCCTAGAGCCTGGCTTGCAGCAAGTGCTCAGCATATGCTTGTTGAACAGATGAAGGGCAGTGAGCAAACCTGCAGAGCTGCAGAAGGTGTGGTGAGGAAGTGGCAGGGTGAGAGCATGTTAAGGAGGCCCTCCAAGTGACCTCCTCTGCATCTTGGCCTGGAGCAGTCTGCCACTGGGGCTCAGGCACAGACTCCAGAGAGCTCTGCCCTTGCCAGGAAGCCAAGCTTTCCTAGTAGGCCCTTCCCAGAGCAGCCTCTGGTGGTATGAGCCCTGTCCCATATAGGGATGGTGGTAAGGAGACCAAGAATCCAACCAGTCCCCAGGAAGTCCTGGCCAGGGTTTAGTCACTTAAGGACCTGGCTGCAGGGACATTTGCTGCATTTCTTCTGGAGAGAGCCTAAACCTGTCAGCTGCTACCTTACTCCCCTGGGATTCCTGAATCCTGTTGGAAGGGGTTTTCCTGGGCTGCCTGATTACCTGAAGGATGAGCAGGACTTGACCAGATGAAAAGGGTGGAAGGTGGCTGAGAAGAGGTAGTGCCTGGCCAAAGATCTGGAAGCAAAGCAGGAAAATCACATTGGAGCGACAGCATTGCATGATGGCCCTACATGGCACGTTGAGCAAGGTGGCAGGAGCCAAAGTCTTCAGGGCTTGTGGGCAGGATGGGGAGTTCAGATTTTGTCCTAATGTAGCCTCTGTTTGGTGCTCAGGGAACTGGCTGGCTTAGAAATTCAGGGCCTGGTTAGATACCATATTTAGGTCTATTTTGCCGTGGGTTGGAGATGTATGAGCTGACCCCCCTTCTTCCTAGGGGTGGCCAAAGTTGTAACAGCAAGAGTTTGGAGCATTAGCTCCAAGGGGTCAGTTGTGTCCTCCAATCAACCCTCATCCCCATGTCAGAGCTGAGTCCCTGGAGGTGCTGAGACCAAGCTGGGCACCTGCTTCCTGGCCTTTGTAACCTTGACTCACAACAGTTTTGTCTCAGATGGCTGCACTGAATGTCCCAAGCTTGTGAGTGGCCCTGGTCCTCTCAGTGGTCATAGCCTGGCCCCTGTGGTGAGGGCTCACTGGGCACTCCTGGTGTATGCTGGATATGCGGCAGGGCTGCTGCTGGCACGTGCAGAACAGTATGTGTTCAGGTTGCCCTCCCTAAAGGGCATGGTGTCACCAACACCACAGAATTCCTAAAGGCCTTTCCAGCACCTTCTCTCATGTGTCTGTAAAACACACATGTGGGTTCAGCACTGCTTTCATCCAGAGAGATGAAGTGCTTCTCACCACAGATCCTCCTGAAAGCCTCACAGGTCCCTGACCACTTATCTCAGACACTTAGCTTGTCTTCTGCCCAGGGGTATCTACGTGTCTGGTCAGGATCTGTTGCAGCAGCAAGGTATCTGGAAGAAAGGAAGAGTAAACAGATTTTGTCCTAACGTAGGACAGACACACAGGCAATGAGCTGCAGCGGCTGGAGCCGCATGGTGGCTGCGGGTTTCCTTTTGCAGTGTTCCTGCATCTCCCGTCAGAGGCCCTGCTACTGGTCCCAGGAATGAATTGCCTGCAGGAGTTCCTCATTATACTCTCTTTTCTGCAGCCTCAGGAAGTTGGTCCATTGGTCAGCATCTTTTGGAAAGATGGCTACCTTCCTAGTCCTTACTGCAAGGAAGGCCAGGCTGACTTCCACCTGAGAGACAGACAAGTGGGGTGGGCAGAAGAAATGGAAGGAATCTGCTCAGTCCTGCCCAGAGTTGCAGGCTGTGAGGTACAAGTGGGGCATGAGAGCTGGGAGCCCCACCAGCAGCAATTAGAACTGAGGCAGGGGTGGGCTTTCAGGGCTGGAGAGTTGGGGCCCAAGTGGCCAGTGCAGTAAGGCCTGCACTGCAGGGGGACCTCAAACACCTGCTGGCCCCACTGTGGTGAGGTTCCTTCCTTTCCCTCCCTTCCTACAGGACCCAGGGTCTTAGCTGTATTGGGAGAGTATAGGAGAGGTTTGCCTGCCAAAAGTTCAGTCAGGGTAGGGTGCTTCTCACTGCCAAAAAAAGAGATACCTGTGTCCAGAAAATCCTTGTTCTGCAACAGTGGGGAGCATGCTGTGGAAGGTAGGTGGGCAGAGAGGGACCTGGTATCTTAGAAGCATGTCTTAGGGATGAGGAATATGAGCTTGGTCTTGGAGTCAGATAGACGTAGGTTCAAATGCTCATTCTGCAACTACTGTGTGACCACTGGCAAGCTACTGAGCCTTATCTAGCTCACCTGTAAAGCGGAGGTTCCCAGGCATCTTCCACTCTTCTCCCTATACCCTAGCTAACAACCTTTCTTCCCTGAGGGTCCCAGGGCTGGATGTCTGTGCTTCTATCACTCTGAGCCTTCTAGTGGATTATGACAGGGAGGCCTCTGCAGAAGATTCTGGGTCAACTCAGTCCCCCCAGAATCGGTCCCCTTGATTTCTTCTAAGCAAGTCCCTGGCCCAGCTTTGGAAACCCGCTTGGTCCTCCTTGATGTGCAGAGTTGGGGGTGCGAGCCCGCCAAGCCAAGCCCTCCTGGGCCTGACCCAAGAGGCAGCCGCAGGTGAGCCAGCATGGGACAGGCAGGGAGAGCACAGCCCTGGAGCCCCATTGGAAGATTCCTTCCTCATCTCCCTCAGCCTAACCAGCAGAGCTCACTGTCCCCTAGGTGCTGAATGGCCATCCCTGTGCCTGGGGCTTGCACACTCTTCATCAGGTGCACACTCACACGTGCACCCAGTCCCATCTGCCACGTGGGCTTTCCCTTCCTCCAGGCCCCCAGCCCAAGCCGAGCTGTGCTGTGGCTCACACGGCAACAGGGCTGTGATGGGAGGGGGTGGTCTGTGTGCTGTTGGGGGAGGGGAGGCACGGGCTGCATGTGACTGCAGCCCCCTGGAGACACGTGGGCCTGCCAGCTCCCTCCACCGCCTCCCTTCAAGCACGTTCTTCCTTCCTCTGTCTTGGTTCTGCAGACGTGTATCGTATTGTTCATGCTGATTGGACAGGCAGAGCCGGATTCCTGTAGCTTGGACAGTCCCACCCTGCAGCTGCACAGTGGTGCGCAGGGTTCTTGTCAATCAGGGGTCTGGCTCCTGGGTCTTCTCTCTGAATTGTGTTGGCTATCAAGGAATGAGAGTTTAAAAGCAAGAGAGAGGGGTTTGCTCAAAAAGTGGTTTTCTGTGGCCCCCAGCGCTCTCTGGTTCACATCCTCCCCCTGGTGTGGGGGCCGAGTGACTTGGATGCCCTCCCTGGTCTCTCTCCATCCCCCAACTTCCATATGACAAAGGGGTGCAAGCAGGGAGAGTCTCTCTCTCACTTCAGGGCCAGGAGCTGAGGAAGGAAATGGAGGAGGAAGTTCCTCCTCTACTGGGTGCTGGGCGAAAGTGAAAGGCAGGCTGCGGGCCAGAGTGAGTCAATGCAGCTCCGGGAGGGGAAGGGCTGCGGAGCTGCGGAAGCGTGCGGAACAGCGATAGTGCCCAGGCCCCCCTGGGCCGGCCGGGGCATCCACGGGTGTAGCCAGGCCTTCGACCGAGAGCCTGTCGGTACCGCCCAGCCCCAGGCCTCCTGCGGCTGCGAACAAGGACTTGGAGCACCAAAGGTCTGAGGTCTGGGGTCAGCCTGGACCTGCAGATTTATTTCCCAGAAATTCAGTACCTCCCTCCACCTCCCCTCCCCTCCTTCCTATCCTGACTGGCTAGGGACCAGAAACTCAGCTTGGGGAAGAGGTGGGCCCTGTAGCTCTCACCCTAACCAACTTCCCAGGAAGGAAAGAAAGAAAGAAAGTCTTTGAAAATATATGCAAGTTGTGCATGTAAGTTGTAACTTACATGTAGGTAGTAAAAATACATGTAAGTTATAAAATACTGGTGTCTATTCTCTCTGTTTTGAAGAAAGATACAGAGAGCAACCTCTTTGTTTTTTAATCAAGTTAGAAAACAAACACAGAAACGCTATGAGATATTAATGATGCCTTGTCATAGAGAAACCTTCTGGACCCAAATTCTAACAATTAACATCCCCTCAGATTGCATGGTGGTTAGGCTCCTCCTTTGCTCCGAATACCTTGAGCTCGTTGGCAGCTGGAGGAGGTGGGTGGGAACTGCTGACGAGCTTCCAGGCTGGATCCTGCCTCCAGCTCACCGGGGCTGCAAAACAGGTTCTTTGCTAGTTTGGGGAAGACTGGCAGCTACAGTCAGACTCAGCAGCACCTCCCAGGGGTGGGGCTAGGACCTGACACACCCTTCTGGGGCCTCATCTACATGCCTCAGTGCAAAGGACGTCAGCCTCTCTGGGCCCTGGACTCTGCAAGGAGCTGGTGGGCTCCCAACCCTGGGCAGCACAGTTGGGAATGACCCCTGTTCTCCACTTACTGTGTCTGAGATGGGCTCGAACCATCAGAGGAGGCACTGGCTGAATAAAGCTCCTTCTGGGTCTGGTGGGGAAGCATGGACAAATGTGAGGGGACCAGGCCTGGCTGCCCAGGGGGAAGAGGCCTGGCTTAAGAGGAGAAAGCCCAACCTGTACTCTATTACCCATTTTCCCACCTTGATCATGGGAGCTGGGACTGGATCTCAGTCCCACTTGTCCCCGGGCAGGTGTCTTTGTTCAGTGCACAAATAACAACCAAATGCAACAGTCCTGGAGCCTAACCAGGAGCGTAAGGTGGTGGGACAAGAGAGGAGTTGCAGAGCACTCTGGGAGACGTCACTGCCTTCTGGTGGCTCTCCCCAAGGACCTGGCTCCTGGCTCACCAATGCTGCTCTGTGAACTAGGGCTTGCCCTCCGAGGCACGGGCCCTGAGGGCCAGAGAGACCTCTCCCTCCCTCACACTTGTGCTGACTTCTGGGGCCTCCTGGGAGGCTGTGGCTGATACTATCCTTCTTCTGTCTGTAGGATCCAGGGTCCAGTGAAGCACCATGAACCGGGAGGCATAGATGAGCCCAAGAGCCCTTCTGCAAGAAGGAAGAAGAGCCAGCAGTTCTTTCTCCTGTGCTTGACCGCATAGCCCAGCATTTTTCTCTGCCCCTGCTCTGCCCCCACCAGCTCCTGGACTAGGGCAGGGCTTCTGGCAGGACCCGCCCCCAGGGGATGGGCGACTGGTGAAGTAGGACTCACTGCTGGGGCCCAGTTGGCCACACCATGAACCTCCAGGCCCAGCCCAAGCCTCAGAACAAGCGGAAGCGTTGCCTCTTTGGGGACCAGGAAGCAGCTTCCAAGGAGCACTTACCACCCCTTCAGGCCCCACAGCAGCCCTCGGCCCCTCCACAGTCCACCAGAGTGAAGGAGGAACCTTACTTTGGGCACGAGGGCCTGGCAGGAGCCACCCCTGCCTCCCAGTCTGTGGAACTGCCCCCTCCCAACAGCCTGGCCCTGCTGAACTCTGTGGTGTATGGGTCTGAGCGGACCACGGCAGCCATGTTGTCCCAGCAGGTGGGCTCAGTCAAGTGGCCCAACTCTGTGATGGCTCCAGGGCGGGGCCCAGAGCGTGGAGGGAGTGCTGGTGTCAGTGACAGTGGCTGGCAGCAGCAGCCTGGTCAGCCTCCACCCCATTCAACATGGAACCGCCACAGCCTGCCCCTCTACAGTGGACCCAAGGGGAGCCCCCATCCGGGTATGGCGGTCTCCACCTACTATAACCACCCTGAGGCACTGAAGCGGGAGAAAGGAGGGGGGCCACAGCTGGACCGCTATGGAAATGCAGTGCGGCCGATGATGCCCCAAAAGGTACAGCTGGAGGTGGGGCGGCCCCAGGCACCCCTGAACTCTTTCCATGTGGCTAAGAAGCCGCCAAACCAGACGCTGCCTCTGCAGCCCTTCCAGCTGGCATTCGGCCACCAGGTAAACCGGCAGGTCTTCCGGCAGGGCCCACCGCCCCCCAACCCGGTTGCTGCCTTCCCACCACAGAAACAGCAGCAGCAAGCAGCCCTACCCCAGATGCAGCTCTTTGAGAACTTCTATCCCATGCAGCAGCCGCCCTCTCAGCAGCCCCAGGACTTTGGCCTGCAGTCAGCTGGGCCACTCGGGCAGTCCCATCTGGCTCACCACAGCATGGCCTCCTACCCCTTCCCCCCAAACCCTGACATGAACCCAGAACTGCGCAAGGCCCTACTGCAGGAGTCAGCCCCGCAGCCTGTGCTACCTCAGGCCCAGATCGCCTTCCCCCGCCGCTCCCGCCGCCTCTCTAAGGAGGGCATCCTGCCTTCCACCACCCTGGATGGGGCTGGCACCCAACATGGACAGGAGCCCACCAGCAACCTGTTCCTACACCACTGGGCCCCACAGCAGCCACCAGCCAGCCATCTGGGGCAGCCCCATCCTGAAGCTCTGGGATTCCCTCTGGAGCTGAGGGAGGCGCAGTTGCTGTCTGATGGGGAGAGACTGGCACCCAATGGTCGGGAGCGGGAGGCCACCACCATGGGCAATGAGGAGGGTATGCGGGCAGTGGGCCTGGGGGACTGTGGGCAGGTGCTACGGGGTGGCGTGATCCAGAGCACTCGACGGAGGCGCCGGGTGTCTCAGGAGGCCAATTTGCTGACCCTGGCCCAGAAGGCAGTGGAGCTGGCCTCACTGCAGAACACAAAGGTGAGAATGGCATGGGATGGGGGCTGGACCTGGCCGAGGGCAGGGTGAGCCATGTCTGGGGTGAGGGGAGAACAAGTGACTCCAGGCCTACAAGGGCAGTTTTTCTTACCTTACTGAAGGAAATGGAAGAATCCATACCTTTCAGGGAATTATTAACTCGGAATGCAAGGAATCTCTGCATAGGTGCATCCATATCTGAAGGGAAGATGAGGTTTAGATACGCACAGGGTTGCAGGCAGGAAAGTGCAACACACCATTGTGGGTTGTCTTGTTCATTTGGGGCTTGAAGGACTGGGAGTAGGGAGAGGTGAAACCATTTCCAGATCCAGTATGCCAAAAGAAAAGAATATGGCAGTGTTCACACAGGTGATTATATCAGAATGTGTCATGCTGTCAAAATTGATGCATTTTGTTATGTGTAAACTATACCACATAAAGTTGATTGAAAAGAAAAAACAGTAACAATGGGAAAGATGAACAGAATATGAGTGTTGTACTTGGAGTTTCTTATACTTGATCACAAATCATTTATCATCAAACCCTATGAGAGGGCTGCTGTCATTTATCCCATTTTATTGCTAAAGAAGCTGAGACCCCAGAGGGATATCCCAAGGTCACAAAGCTAGGATAGAAGACTAGTGTCTGACTCCAAAGCTAGCATTTGCTCCTTCCTTCCTGTAGGGCCAGGATGATACATAGGAGGCTGCAGAATATGACTTGACTCCAGCCAGTTGGCCAGTGGGGAAATAGATACAAACACCACCCTTATCTTGCAATAGGTTTCTTGCTTATTTTCTTTTGCAGATGTTTTAAATATTTAGATACTATTTCATGTGCCATTCACTGTTCTAGCCAAACAAAACAATCCATAAGCCAACTGTGGCCTGAGATGGCCATCTGGGGACCCCTTTTCCAGGCCAGGATAGAAGGACCTGACAGAAGGGAGGTTATGTAGAGTGTTCAGGAATGTGGTGGGAGAAAATGGGGTCAGGGAAAGGCCAGATTGTTGAATCACTGGGAACCCTTGTGGGCGTTTGACTCCTTGAATCAAATGGGACCAGGACCAACAAATCAGAACTTATCTTCTAAACCTTGTTGCCATTCCCTCTCTTCCTTCTCCAGGATGCCAGTGGCTCTGAGGAGAAGCGGAAAAGTGTATTGGCTTCAACAACCAAGTGTGGGGTGGAGTTTTCTGACCCTTCCTTAGCTGCCAAACGAGCACGAGAGGACAGTGGGATGGTTCCCCTCATCATCCCAGTGTCTGTGCCTGTGCGGACTGTGGACCCAACTGAGGCAGCCCAAGCTGGAGGTGTTGAGGATGGGAAGGGTCCTGAACAGAATCCCACTGAACACAAGCCGTCAGTCATTGTCACCCGCAGGCGGTCCACCCGTATTCCTGGGACTGATGCCCTTGCTCAGGTATGAGAGGCTCCTAATGCAAAGACCTCCAGTACCTGTGTGCTCCTGGAAGCCTAGTAACCTGCAGGAAAGAAAGGAGAATGTGACAGTGCAGAAGAGATTCAAACAACCCATGGGGATACTATTTATATTTTCCAAACCAAACTTCTGGGCAAATGCACTTATGGAGGACAATGAGACAGTTTTATACTTGAAATTGGGTCTGTCTAGGAAAATTTATGAAGTGTGAATTTCTATTATTTCAAGTCAGCAAATTTTAATTGGACTCCTAATATGGGTCATACCCTGTGGTAGGCACTGGGATGTAGAAGTGTTTGCTTGTTCTGTCAGTACAAACGTATGTATATTGAGATCTCCCACTAAGATTGAGGCTTTGTCTATTTCTTCTGTTAGTTCTGGCAGTATTTGTTTTATACATTTTGGTGCAATGTTATTAGCTGCATACTCATTTAGAACTGGATTAGACACTTTATTATTCTGAAATATCTCTTTTCATCTTTAGTAAACTTTTTGCTTTTTTAAGTCTACTTTGTCAAATATTTAGCTTTCTTTGGTTAGTGTTGGGGGTGGGAGAAGATGAAGGATGAGTGTGTCTTTTCCATCTTTTTATTTTCAGCCTCTCTGTATCCTTCTATTTAAAGGTGTATCTTTCAAGGGACATATAATAGGAGTTTGTTACTGTCTGTTCTAACAACCTTTGTCTTTTAATTAGAACATTGATAACAGTTTACATTTAATGTAATTACTAATATACTTGGGTTCAAATCTGCCATGCTGTTTGCTTTCTATTTATTCCATCCTGTTTTTTCCTTTATCCCCCTTCTTTGTTTCCTTTGATTTGGGTTGTTATTCCTTTTCCCCTCTTTATTAATGTATTAGTTACACACTTATTTATTACTCTTGGTGATTACCCTAGCAGCTTTTCTTATGTGGATTTCTGGGAGAGAACTAAGCCCTATAGAAAGGGATTTGCATGACTGTTTTCTCAATTCACCGGAGGACAGCACATAGCTAGTACCATTCTAGATGCATAGGACAGAAGTTAACTTGTTACATACAGTAAATGCTTTATGACTTTAGGTCTTCATTCTCTGGTTCAGAAGGGCTACTAGAGATTAAAGCATGCATTCTTGGTTTATTGAAATCTGAATTGGTACTTCTTCTGAGACAATGCAAAGTCCTTACAACACTTTAATTCCATTTTCCATCAACCCCTAACTTGTAGAATTATTAACATGTACTTTCATTCTGTCTATATTTTAACATCAACAGAACGTTGTAACATTGTTTTGTTCTGTTGTTCATTTTAGATTTACTTAAATACTGTTTTTGTTGCTTTTCATTTCTTCTCATATCTCCAACTAGGATCCCCATAGGTCTGTTTCCATTATCTGTTATTTCTTGTTTTTAAGTCACATCTTGATCTCTTGTATATCTGGTTATTTTTTATTGAATGTCAGAAATTACATATGAAAAATTATTGAGGTAATTAAGGACTCTAGATGATGTTCTCCTGTTCCAGAGAGGCTTTATCTTTGCACCTAATAAGTAGCAAAGGGCACTAGCAATTCTGAATTACTTTAATCAGATTGAGATGAGATTATTTGAAATTGGGCATTATTCCATGTGAGGACTAGTCTATTTCTCATTTACCTTTATTCTGAGATACAGCCCTTTGGAGTTCCAATCCAAAGCTTCAGAGTTTATCAGTCTCTCCTTCCTTGGCAAAACCTAAACTCCGACTTTAATTCTGTTAGCTCCTTGAATTTATTAAAGGCTCTACTCAGTGCATCCACCTCGAGAGAAAACACAATTCCAAATGCTGGGCTTACCTCTGACTTTCCTTCTTTTCCTGGATCTTGGCTCTTTCTTTGCCAATTTATTTGCTCTCTAATACCTTTAGAAATGGGTTTTTATATTGAGTTCGTATTTTCTAGTTATTCTGAACTAGAGAGTTGGCCTCAGACCTGTCCTCTTTTAAGAAAGGATAGAGGTTGGAGGCTGGAGGTCTGGGCAGCTTGTACTAAGGATGTCAGGAAGGAGCCTGAGCAACTACACCGCTCAACGTACCCATTTCATAGATGAGGAAATAGGTCTGGAAAAGGCAAGAGACTTACCCTAAGGTCATACAGTCAAGTAATGGCAGAGCTAGTCCTGGGATTTCTATCTCCTGAATGCCTGCCTATATTTTCACTACACCAGGCTTTTGGGGGAGGTTTATTTTTTATTAGTTATTTTCTTTATTGTAGGCATTTTCAATCTTGCACAAAAGCATAGAGAATGGAAAATGAACCCCAAATTTAGCCATCATCCAGCCTTAGCAGTTTTCAAAATATAGCCAATTTCTTTAATTGTACCTCCACTTCTTCCTATCACTGGATTTTTTAAAAGCCAATCCCAAACATTGTATCAGTCCATACATAAGTACTTTGGTTTGTATCTGAAGTCCTCAGAGAAGGTTCCTTCCTTCCTCCCTCCCTCCCTTCCTTCCTTTTCTTTTCTTTTTTCTCTTTTAACATAAGCTCAATACCATTATCACACATAAAAATCAGTACAAAAAATATTGTCAAATATTCAAAATAGTTTAAATCCATTTCCTTTATTGTAAAATTACAAATTATTATAGCTAGCTGAGTTCAAGTTGGATTTCTTGTCTAGCAAGTTTGGGGGCCTTTAGCACCACTGCAGTTTTTTCTGTGCAATCATATTGGAAAGAAGAATGAACAATTTCATTTCTTCCTAGTCTGTAGAAGAGAAAAGAGGGCACTAGTAGGTAAAGGACATGGCCAAGGCCTCATGGAGAATCAAGATTCTCCACTGGAAGGTCTTGTGGGAGCTGGAACCCAGGAAGGAGAGAAAGCCTGTTGTTTCCAGGCCCTCTTAGTCAATGTGTCCAACATCACCTGTTGGTCAGCTGTGTACCCAGGGAGATGACCACCCTCATAGCCCATTCTCTCTTGAAAGGATAGGGATGGTGCAAGAGGAAGCTTGCATTCCCTTATAGGCCTACCTTCTGTTCAATATGGAGACCCATGAGGCATACCGAGCAGGGTGAAGTGTAGGTCAGGAGGGCTAACCTTTGAGTGGGCTAGCCTGTGGTAGTAGGACTAATACTGTAAGAACAAAAGTTCCTGTGAGGACAGGACTATCCTGTTCATTTTGTGGTCTGATGCCCAGCTCAGGTCTTGGTACACAGTAGAGGCTGCAGTCTAATACAGAGCTTGGAGGTTAAGCAGTGATAGCAAACAGTATTTATTGAGTAATTACTATGTACTAGGTACTGTTCTCAGTGATTTCCATATATTAACTCATTTAGTCCTCATAGCTATCCCATTAGATAGGCACTCATTCCCATGTTAAAAATGGTGATGCACAGAGAGGTGAAGTAATTTTAAGTGGTAAGTAAAGGAGGTCAATCTCAGTCCAAGCAATCCAGCTCCAGAGACTGACCCTTTACCACTGTACTCCCCTGCCCTAGAGCATGCTTTATAGCGGGGGCTGGGAACTATGGCCTCTGGACCAAATCCAGACCTAAGAATGTTTTTTACATTTTTAACGAATTGTTAAAAGACAGGAGAAGAAGAATATGTAACAGGGACCGGGGTGTGGCCTACAAAGCCTAAATTCACCATCTGGCCCTTTACAGAAACAATTTGCTGGCCCCTGCCCTAGAGGAGAGACGATAAGAAGGGCTTTTGGACCTGCTGCCTGTCTCAGGCTCGCCTTGGTGGGTTTGGTGGGCAGACTAAGTTCCAAAGGTGAGACTGGCAAGCAGTGGTCAAGACTGTGTTCCCCCAGGACAGAAGAGGCTGAGCCGCCTTGGTTCTGTTTCCTTCTCCAGGCTGAGGACATGAGTCAGAGGTTGGAGGGGGAAACTTCGGTGCGGAAACCAAAGCAGCGGCCTCGGCCTGAGCCCCTCATCATCCCCACCAAGGCGGGCACTTTCATTGCCCCTCCCGTGTACTCCAACATCACCCCATACCAGAGCCACCTGCGCTCTCCCGTCCGCCTAGCTGACCACCCCTCCGAGCGGAGCTTTGAGCTGCCCCCCTACACACCACCCCCCATCCTCAGCCCTGTGCGGGAAGGCTCTGGCCTCTATTTCAATGCCATCATGTCAACGAGCAGCATCCCGGCCCCTCCTCCCATCACACCAAAGAGCGCCCATCGCACCCTGCTCCGGTCTAGTGAGTGAACCCCTCAGCGGCCATGGGGGCAGGGAATGTGGAGAGGGTGGGCAGTGGGCAGGTATGAGATGCAGGTTATGGACTCCTGGGGTTTGGGGTAGAACACTGTGGGAAAAGAGGATCCTCTCTCTCCTCTGAGAAAAGGAGGTTGTCCTGGTTCAAGAACAGGCAGGGGTGGGGAAGGATGTTAGCCCAGTTCCTTGGGTTCAAATCCCAGTTCCACCATTTGCTATTTCATCCCCTGTGCAAATCACGGAAACTCCTTGGGCTTTGGTTTCTTCAATATTTAAATAAGGATATTAGCAGTATTTGGTTGATGATGAAATCGCCAATATTGAACTATTTTTAGATGCACAAATAGCAGTTTCCTATGGTGCAACCTAATAGCTAACTCACTGGGTTGTGGTGAGGCCCAGATTCATCAACACATGTAAAGCACTGAACATCATGCCTGCTGCATCAGGTTTACTGCGAATGGTATGTGGCAGATCCCATCTCCTGGGTCTCTTCAACAGTCATTTGAACAAGAGCAGACATTTTGGCTGTCCTGGATGGTGAATTGCTGAAAAATATTGCCCACTCCACAAAAGGATCTATTTCCGCAGGAAAACGGGATAATCCTATCTGTTTGTGTGGTGGATAGTAAACTTTACCAGAGGTAGCACAGGGGTGAGGCAGTGCTGTCACTGGATTAACCTCTGACCCTGACCTCACCCATGGTATAGCTCTCTGGTGCCCCCTGGTGTCTGTGGGGGAGAAATGGTTCACCCTGGGCTGGCCGGCCTTTGGCCCTCCCACTTTCACTGCAAGCTTGGAAGCTTTGCTCTCTCCCTGCCTGGGATGTGCAGGAGGAAGTTACTGTAGAGGCCAGACTGGCAGCAAAGAAGAGGTCTGTCCATCCATGAGTATTTATGGAACACTTGGATGTAAAGCCTTGAACTGGGTCCTGTGAGGACTCCAATAACGTATGGGACACCATGGTCTGTTCTCAAGAGAGGATGAGGTCATTAGGGAGTTGGCATGGAAGCCTGGGAGACAAAAACAGAGGTTCTGGGCAGTGTGGGATCAGCAGCCAGTAAGTGAAGCAGACCCCAAACGCCAAGTCTGTGGAGGCTTACTAGCCTTAGGTGGTGAGGAGAGCATTCAGGAGAGGGTGGGGCAAGAGCTGAGCTTGAACTAGGAGCCAGTCGGGGAGGGCACACTAGACCGAGGAAATAAGTGGTGCAAAGGCCTGGAGGTGGGACTGGACTATGCAGGGAATGTGAGGGGTCATGAGTAAGCAATCTTCTAGGATCCAGGGTCCAGGCAAGTTGGTGGTGGAGGCATAGGTGGAAGGGGAACCACCTTCAGTGCCTGAGGAGCTCAGGTTTTATATCATACTGCAGAGAGAAGTCGGCAGAGATTTTGTTTTTGGAGCGAGGGAGTGTCTTCATCATGTGGGGCATTAAGAAGATGAGCTCAGGAGAAACCGAGGCAGAGAACCCAACAAGGAAGTGAGAAGATAATTATGAAATGCTGATCCCCTTCACCACCCTATTAGTGTGCGGAAATTTTCCGCCTCTTTACTGGAGCAACCATGCTTTAATGTTGGAATTAAATTGGTAGTGTGGGAGTTCTCAGGGCAGGGACGTGACTTTAGAAGTAGAACTGGTAGTAGTAGTAGTAATACTACTACTACTACTACTATATGTACTACTAATAATATTTATTGAGGGCAAAGCTTTGTGCATCATTTCATTCACTCTTCACATTAACCTTAGGAGATGGGTAGTAATAGTCCCTTTTAGCAGGTGTGCAAATGGAGGCACCCACACATTTGGTGAAGTCAGTTAGTCACCACAGTCACAGGCTGTGGAGCAGGACTCAGGATGCCTGATTTCTAGGTGTGAACCTCTGTGAGTCAGCACTGTGCTCTCGTGCACACAGAGCCAGCTACCTAGGGTTGGGTGGGTGGGTGGGTGGGCTTGCTGAAGGGAGGAGGGTGCCCTTTTACCAATTTACCTTTTGTCCCATAGATAGTGCTGAAGTCACCCCGCCTGTCCTCTCTGTGATGGGGGAGGCCACCCCAGTGAGCATCGAGCCGTAAGTGCAGCCCTGCCTGGCCAATGGTGTGAGGGTGGCCAGTTGGGATCCAGCATGTGCAGGCAGGCCCTGCGAGAAAGAGGAGGGTTCTTGGGTACTGCAGAGTGCTAAGCAGGCCTCTCAGGGCTTCTGCAGTTGGCACTGGTCTTTACTGTCCCCACCTTGCCTGCATGTGGAAATCACAGGGAAAGGAAAGGACCAGTTCAGTCTAAATTTGCTTCTGAAGAAAATTCTAAGGGTAGTCCAAGAGACTCTTTTACCTGTCTATAAACTTGGCACTTCTTCACCCCTTTCCAACCTCTGGGCCTTGCCTTTCCAGTGGTACCATGCACTAGTCACCAGGCTGTCCTCACAGTCCCCAGAAGCCAGATTCCCTTACCCCCAGCCCTGCCATGCCCAGCCTCTGCCAACTACCCCCAGCATCTTCTCAGCCCCACAAAGGGAGACTTCACTCCCTGCCCCTTTCATCCCTGCAGACGTATCAACGTGGGCTCCCGGTTCCAAGCAGAGATCCCCTCGATGAGGGACCGTGCCTTGGCAGCTGCAGACCCCCACAAGGCTGACTTGGTGTGGCAGCCATGGGAAGACCTAGAGAGCAGTCGTGAGAAGCAGAGGCAAGGTGAGAGGGGACCTAAGCCAGAGCTAGCAAGTGACAGGGGGCTGTTGGGTGGTGGATGGGCTAAGCCCAGATCCTGTCCAGCATAGCCTGGCTCTGAAAGTGATTCCTCCCCTCCTCCCCGTGCTCGCTCCCTTGAATCCAGTGGAAGACCTGCTGACAGCTGCCTGCTCCAGCATTTTACCTGGCGCTGGCACCAACCAGGAGCTGGCCCTGCACTGTCTGCATGAGTCCAGGGGAAACATCCTGGTGAGACAACACCGCCAGTGGAGGGAGGGAGGGACCCCCAGGGAGGCTGGCATGGATCCATGCCTACTGCCCAGGAACCAGGCCCACTAGAGTGCAGATTTAAGGCAAGCGGGAGAATCTGACCCAGCTGTGGGTTGTACAGGCTCAGACCAAGGCAGCCCTAGTTCCAAAGTCCAGACTTTGCTGCACAGGGTCCTCCTCTCCAGTCCCTGATTCTGGGTCCCTGGGTTCCCATCCTCAGATGGGGCTATCACTGAGGGCCTTCTCTGCCTGTAGCTGCCTGCCTTGGGGGCCATGTGTTCCCTCTTAAGAGGCCTGGTGGCCTGGTTCCTGAGCAGCCCACCTCCCATGACCTCGCCATCCAGCCAGACCTCTTGTCCTTTAGCGGTTAAGGGGGCCAAGAATATGTGCCCACCCTACTTGGAGGCCAAAAGAGGCCTTCTTAATTTTGCCCAGAGCCTCGGATGCTCAGCCTACCACCAAGACCCCTGCCAGGGCACTGACCTTTGCCTCATTTCCCTTGCAGGAGACGCTGAATAAGCTGCTATTGAAGAAGCCCCTCCGGCCCCACAACCACCCACTGGCAACTTATCACTACACAGGTGAGTCAGGCTGGGCCTGGGGCCTCAAGGGGTCTCCCATATTAGTGGGGCCCAGCTGGGTGCTGGCTCACAGTCTGGGGTGGACAAGCCAAGAGCCAGAGGGAACCGACACCGAAGCTGGGGTAGCTCCTCAAGGGCTTCCTGTGCCCTGGAGGGGAAGGGGGAAGAGGGCAGGCAACAGGAGCCCGTCCAGGACAGGGCACAGGAACAGGAACCCAGAGAGTACCATCCAAATTGGCATCAGGTCCTGGAGCTTAGATGATCTCTGGAGTGTCATGTCCCTTTCTGGGCCCTGTGCTTTAAGCAGGACATTGACCAGGTGGCATAGTCCCAGCAGCCCTTGTTATTGATCCCTATTGAGTGGTCTGTCTTGCCTGTGCCAGGCAGAGAGCACCAAGGGCCCCACACGCATTATCTCACAACTGGTGAGGTGGCTTTTATTTGACAAAAGAGGAGAGCACGGCTTAGAGGCTGAGCAACGAGGCCAGTACAAGGCAGGACCAGGATGTGGAGCCAGCTGTTAATGCCTGCAGGGGCCGTGGATGGATGGCCTCACTCTTTTCTGTGGATCAGAACTGGCCCCACCGCATTCACAGTCCCACCCACCTCACCTCCCTGGCTCCCTCTTACCTGCAGGCTCTGACCAGTGGAAGATGGCTGAGAGGAAGCTGTTCAACAAGGGCATTGCCATCTATAAGAAGGATTTTTTTCTGGTGCAGAAGCTGGTGAGCCAGGACTCTGTTGCAAGGGCAAGCGGGGCGGTTGCGGGAGAGGAGTTGCCTGCATGCCTCGGGGGTCCCTGTGCAGTGGGGGCTTTGCCTTCACTCACCAAGCACTTAGGTCAGTGCCACTAAGTAGCCACAGAGAAAATTTTCTACACAAAACAGGAAAGGGATAAGAAAGGGCCTTTTTTCCCATTGGTTCTCAGCCAGTGGTTCCCTCACCTCAGGCTAGTGTGACCAGCCATGCTCTGGGTCTCAATCCAGAGGGAGGTCTGAGTGGTCAGCAGACCCAGGAATGTCAGACTTAAAATAGTGACTTGCCTAAGGGAGAACAAGAGGATGGCTGCAGGCAGAGGTAAGCATTCCCCAAGGAGCTGGAGTACTTCAAAAGCCACAGTTTGTAAGTAGGAGAAGTCACCCTAAAATGAGAGACAGTAAGTTACTGTATAACCAGACAGTGGGGAAGGGGTGAGGTAGAAGGTGGGGTGGAGGCCTCTGCCCACTTCCTGTCAGATGCAGGGCTTCCTTCCACAACTCAGATGACCACCAAGAGGAGGCTGAAGGCTAGTTTTCCTAGATTTAATGTGTCTTGTCCTCTCCCTGTGTTCTTTTGGGGAGAGTAGTCCTTGCTAAGCCAAGAACTTGGATCTTTCCACCAGCCCTGTCTTACAAAATCTGGGCTGTGGGGAAAGTGAGTTCTGTGGACCACTCCGGGGAAAAGGGCTAATAAGAGCGCACACTTTATTCCTGGGGTTGTAGATTGTGCCAGGGATGGCTCTGGGGACTGGACAAAGTACCAGTGAATTCTCCTACAAGGTCCTGTTGTGAGGACAGCTCTTTGCTGGGTTTCAGTAACACTCTGTTCCCTATTGGGCAATACTGCTGGGAAGGACATGCCTGTGAACTTCACTGAGGCGCCCCTAATGCCTTAATGAAAAGAGCAGACCATCAGTCAGTCAAACACATGATCAGAGAATGACATGATAGTCAAAGTGTAAACAGGACAAAGTATAAGTTTTAAGAAATTAAATCTGTTCCTGTAACATGGAGCATGTCTCCTCCCCCTCAGGCACAGCGGACCCTCACTGATCCCTTAGGTTCCTTAGGACAGGGTCTCCCAGCTCTCTCCCTGTGCAGCCCAGCAATTGGCTGAAGAGTCTGGGACCTGGGAGGAAGGGTATAGAGTCAGAGAAAACTTGACTCTGTGTACAAGAAGCTAGTCCAGAAACTAAACCCAGTGGCTGCCTGGGTTTATGGAAGGGAGGGCTAGCATTTCAGAGGTTGGGAGGCCCTGGAGGATCATTTTAATTTTTTTTTTTTTTTTTGAGAGGGCATCTCTCATATTTATTGATCAAATGGTTGTTAACAACAATAAAATTCAGTATAGGGGGGTCAACGCTCAATGTACAATCATTAATCCATCTCAAGCCTAATTCTCGTCAGTCTCCAATCTTCTGAAGCATAACGAACAAGTTCTTACATGGTGAACGAATTCTTACATAGTGAATAAATTCTTACATGGTGAACAGTACAAGGGCAGTCATCACAGAAACTTTCGGTTTTGATCATGCAATATGACCTATAAACAATCAGGTCAAATATGAATATTCGTTTGATTTTTGTACTTGATTTATATGTTGATCCCACATTTCTCCTATTATTATTATTATTTTTATTTTTAATAAAATGCTGAAGTGGTAGGTAGATGCAAGATAAAGGTAGAAAACATAGTTTAGTGCTGTAAGAGGGCAAATGTAGATGATCAGATGATCAGGTGTGTGCCTATGGACTAAGTATTAATCCAGGCTAGACAAGGGCAGCAAGACATCCACGGATGCAGAAGATTTCTCTCAAAGCAGGGGGGGTGAGGTTCTGAGCCTCACCTCTGTTGGATCATTTTAATTTTACCCCCTCACTATTTATACACAGAGAGACTTGCCTCAGGCCACACAGCCATTTAGTGGCAGAGTTTGGAGTAAGATGCTTCCTCGTCAGGTTTTCAAGAGCTTCCTTGTTAGTCTTTCTCGAGTTCCTCTCTAAATAGGAGAGTCTGACATTTCTCTCTTAGACCTGTCAGTTGCCGCTGCCTGGGGAGGAGTCAGACTGTTGCCCAGATTGATGAAGGGTGTCTGTGTTGCCGGCTGGCTTTGAATGTGGATGGTGCCCAGACTTTTCTCCCTTAATTTTTCATTTTGAAAGATTTCAAACTTACAGAAAAATTGAAAGAGCAGTACAGTGAACACCACATGCCCCTTACTTAGATTTACCAATTGTCGCCATTTGTTTTCTCTCTGTGTCTTTATACAAACGTATACACACCTATATTCTGTTTTAACTAATAATTAAAAGTAAGTTACAGACATCATGAGACTTGACCCAAATAGCTCCTAAGAACAAGGATATTCTCCTATAAACCCACAGTGCAATTATCATACCTAAGAAAGTTCAACCAATAAAATAGTACTTTCTAATATGCAGCCTATATGAAATTTCCTCAAGGCTCCACTTCGTCCTTTTTGGCTCTTTTTTCTTTTAAAATAGTGATGATAGATTGGTTAGTTGAATTTGTTAACGTTTGCTGAGGTTGAGGGGGGATGTGCAGGGATGGGAAAGGCAGGTTTGCACAACCAGGAACTCTGACCTTGGTTTTGGCTTCCAACCAGATCCAGACAAAGACCGTGGCCCAGTGTGTGGAGTTCTACTACACCTACAAGAAGCAGGTGAAAATTGGCCGCAATGGGACTCTAACCTTTGGAGATGTGGACACAAGTGATGAGAAGTCAGCACAGGAAGAGGTTGAAGTGGATATTAAGGTGACTCCCTTCCCAGCCTCTGCTGCTTCGAGCCTGGGCTTGGTCTGGGGCCAGGGCTGAGTGGGGAGCCTGAAGCCAAGCTACCAGGAGTCCCTGGAGGACAGAGAGAGGAAGGTAGTGTCCCTGCAGCTCCAAGGAACTGATGTCCTGGGCACTGGCCCTGGACTTTTGGGTTCCCTTCTCTATCCGCCAGTGTCATAGTAATAATGTATTATGTTGATGCAGAACATTGGGGGATTTTCTCACAGTATTTCCACCAGCATCAACTTAGTGTTCCCAGAGAGCAGACCTCTGACACTGTTTCCCAAACTTTAATCATTCTCTTATTACCCTTAAGAATTCTACTATGTCTGCATCCTACCACATGTCACCATCACTATTTCTGTCATGTCCACACACGACTTGTTCTATTACTTCACGTTTTTCTTTAGGTCAACTCACTTTTTACTCAAAAGGGAAGCTTTATTTCATAATCATTAATAGAAAACCAGTATCACTTGGTATAGAGGGTACTGGTAAAAATAAATATATGTGAAACCTAAGAATGTTATTAAATTCTAGCTAGGTACTATTACCTGCAAGGCTCTGAGACTGGGGCCTGATCTCTCTTTAAGTCTAGTTAAATATAAAGACATATTAACACCAACTTGAGAATTTGTCCTTGATGTAATCAGGATTGAACAAGAATTGAAAAGAGAATATTATTTAATTCTGTGCCCATGTATCCACCTACCCTCATCTTGGGGTTACAAATCAGCACTTGGTGACATGCTACTTTAAGACAAGGAGTACTTTGGTCCCTATTCTTCAGATGGGAAGGAAGTGGAGATACAGAAAGTGATGCAAGATAGTTCAGAATTGGAGCTCAAGGCTTCTACCGGGTTCCACAGATCACCCAACCCAAGGATGTGTCTCTTGGACACATCCAGGACAGGTGGCCTTTGGCAAGGGACCAGCGTGCTCCCTCCATGCCCCTGGCTCCATCTCAAGTGCTTGGTCTCCATCCGAGGGCTCCCAGGGCCCAAGACTCTCTTCTTTCCCAGACAGACTAGCTGTGGGAGGGCAGAGAGTCATAGCCAAGGAGGCTGTCCCGGGCCAGACCAGGCAAGCAGGACTAGCAGGAGCCGGTGACCCCAGGCTGGGTTGGGATCGGTCCACCATGGCTCCGTGACTGAGCTACAGGCTCACTACACTCGTTCTTGTCCCCTGTAGACTTCCCAGAAGTTCCCAAGGGTGACTCTGTCCAGAAGAGAGTCCCCAAGTGAAGAGAGACTGGAGCCCAAGAGGGAAATAAAGGAGACCGGGAAGGAGGGGGAGGAAGAGGTGCCAGAGGTCCAGGAGAAAGGGGAGCAGGAAGAGGGACGAGAGCGAAGCCGGAGGGCAGCGGCCGTCAAAGCCACCCAGACACTACAGGCCAATGAGTCGGTAAGTGCAGCCTCCACCAGAGGAGCTGAGAGCTAAGAGGAGGGCTGGGGCTGGGCCTGGGAGTGCGGGAGGGAGGGCAGAAGAGGAACATGACTGTGATCACCATCATCATCATAGCAGGAAATGTGTTCAGTACCTCACAATGTTGATTCATTTAATCCTCATAACCCTATGTTGTAGGTAGTCATTATTCCCATTTTACCGATGAAGAAACTGAGGCCCAAGACAGGACGGTTAGTAGGTAGCCTGATTCCAGAGTCTGCTATTAATTTTTAAACTATATTGCCTCTGTATCTCAGGCCCAGGGGAAAGAGTCTTTATGAAAACCCAGGAGGTGTGTGGGACATTGGGGAAGCATTCATGAGTAGACAGAAGAGGGCTGATGAGAATGTCTGAAGCTGAGCTGAGGCAACAATAATGGCCCCTCATGCATGACCTCTGCAAAGTGCTTTTCTGTCCAGTATCTCAGTAATTCCTCACAATAACCTCATAGTGTTCATCACACCTTGCAGATGGAGGAAACCAGATTCAGAGATGCCAATGGCCTACTTGAGGTCTTACCCCAGATACTTCCAGTGCAGTGCTCTGCCCACCACATCACAGGCCAAGAAGCAACTTACCAGCCAGAGCTGTTCCTTGTTAGGGAGAGGTCCCCCAAGAGAAGGCAGAGATGGGAAGGGTCTGTGGGGAACTACAGTGAGAGTCTTCGTGTGTGTGTGTCTGTGTCTGTGTGTGTGTGTGTGTGTGTATTGTGTACACTGCTTGCAGGAAAAAACCCACAAACTGTAGATACAAAGCTGTTTGCTACCTTATGAGCCTTGCTGTGCTTGTTCTCCAAGAGCTGTGCTCTGTGTACATGCTCACTTGAGTTCTGCAGACTTTTGTGAACACTTTCCTGTGAGGGTCGACCCAGTGCACATACTTACGACTTCTAATGGCCATCTGGGGCTCCCCTGGCCTGGGGCCCATGCTTTGGATATCCTGAGCAACGCCTCTCCAGGTCTGCACTTAGTGTTGTTGGCTCTCTGGCACCTTCTTGGCATTTAGTATGGTGGCTCATGTTGTCATGACTTAGCTGTCTGCAGTCTCTCGGTTCCACTAGACTTGGATCTGTCTCTTCTGTATCCCTAGCATCTGGCATAATCACATGAACTTGAATCTCATTTATGGAATTAAGGAATGTTAGGTAATTACTTGTACCAGCAGCTTTGTAAAAAGAGAGCTGGCTAAAGACAGAATTGGCTGCCAAAAAAGCAGGGAGTGCCTTGTCACTGGGAGAATTCAAGCGGATTCTGGGGCACCATCTGGAAGATTCTGGGGGACCATCTGGCGAGAGTGTATGAACTAAGATCCATCTATTCCCTGAGATTCCAGAATTCAGGAACCTCTCTTCCTTAAATCTCTCAACTCTTCTTTGATCCTCTCCAGGCCAACGACATCCTCATTCTCCGAAGCCATGAGTCTAACGCCCCTGGGTCTGCTGGTGGCCAGGCTGCAGAGAAGCCAAGGGAGGGGGCAGGGAAGTCTCGAAGGGCACTACCTTTCTCGGAGAAGAAGAAAAAAACAGAGACCTTTAATAAGACCCAGAATCAGGAGAATACTTTCCCTTGTAAAAAATGTGGCAGGTAAGACAGCAGGCCCTGTCTCCAAGGGGACTGGCATGGCGTCCCGCGGTTGGTGGCTGGGCAGACGTCGGTCGTGGGGCGAGTAAGAGGTCGGATCTTTCGCCTCATCTTCTGATTGGCTACAGGGTTTCCAGGGCAGTGGCGTCACCCGGCAGGTTTTCAGAGAGGGCCTCAGGACCTCACCGGTCTCCTAGGCGGAGGGTGGGGGTGGCTCACGTGGCAGGAACCCCCAGTGGGAGGGCCCTTCCCTCCCCTTCCACCCCCCGCCCACCAGTCTAGCGGTGGTTCCAGGCTGCTGGGGACCCACCACTGACTTGGGTCCCTCCTGCCCGGCTACAGGGTGTTTTCCAAGGTTAAAAGCCGCAGCGCCCACATGAAGAGCCACGCAGAGCAGGAGAAGAAGGCCGCCGCTTTGAGGCAGAGGGAGAGAGAGGCCGCCGCCGCCGCCGCTTCTGCGGCCAACGCCTCCCCACACCAGCCGTCCCTGCGGGAGGAGAGCAGCGCGGGCGACAGGGGCTGAGGCCCGGGGCTCGGCTGGAGGCCCTCCCTGCACCAACCAGCCCTGCTGGCGCCCACCAGCGCCCTGGAGCCTCCAGAGGGAGAAAGGAGAGATCACATGGACTTTTTCTGAAAAACAAAAAGACGATAAAATAAACGGCTCTTTTATTTATTAAGGCCCCAGGAGCAGTCTTAAGGGCTGTAGGATCCAGTTTCTTTGCATTCAGTCTGTTGGAAGTTGTCCTTCCGCTTTCCTGGAACTGTGAGAGTCCTTGCTCTCCGGGGCTGCCCCTGGGGAGGGTCTCCAGCCGCTGCCACTGCTGCCTCACACCAGGACCTCTGCTGCCACGCAGTCCCTGTCCGTACTCTTTGTTCCCCCTGCCCCACTCGGTCACCATGGAGAGCCAAGCACAAGCGCACCCACAACCCCCCACTCCGTTGCAGCGTTATTCCCCCTCCTTAGAGGACCTCAAAGGCTGCACAGGCCTGCCTAAAGCCGGGGAAAAAGGAGCTCCCTTGGTGGGAGTGTGGTGGCCATCTCTGAGAGTAAGCTCAGCCTGGCACCTGTGCAGTCCCTGCATGACAATTTCCAGGCCTATGCTGTTCCAGTGACCCTGTTCTCAGGCACCGCCTCCATGGGAGGGAAGCCACCAGAATGCCTAGAGGGAGTGAAACCTAGGACAGGTACCTATTTTGCTGCTTGCTCGCAGCCTTCCGGAGCTGGAAAGTTTGGGGAAGGGAACAATGTTCCTGTCCAAGCTCTCAGCCCACTGGAGGAAAGGGAACTATGCAATGGTTGGAAGACCAGGGACCAGGAGCTTTTGATAATAAGCCTTGGCTCTTCTACTTCCCACCTTTTTGCCAAATCCTTGGGCTCTGGAGGCTACTAAGGGAGCTTAGCCTACGCCCAGCCTGCGCCTCCACGGTAGATGTTTCCTGATTGCCTCTGCCCTGCCCTTTTCAACTGCCACCTAACCACCCCACCTGGCCTAGTGTTGATAATCCACAGCTCAGCCCCCAGTCCTGCATGCTGGAGATTTCTGGATCCTTCCCTGGGAGGAGAGAGGTTTCCTAGCCAGATTGGACAGGAGCCTTCATTCCTGTTGTCATTTGGGAGCTATTTATTTATTCTGAATATTTAATTTTTAACACATCCTCTCAGGGACCAGGGGCCTCCTGTTTTCCAGAGGCCCAAGTGCATTTATCCCAAAACAAGGCACTTTCTTGGCATCCACCCCACCCCATTCCCAAGACCCTACGGTCCCTTACCTAGTTGCTCTGGGAGCTCTTGTCTATAGGAATGACAGTGGCACTGAAAGAGGGTGGAAAGTACCACCAAAGCCACACATAGACTGGTAGAAGCAAGGGAGATCAAAGGCAGTTCTTGTTACTCTTCTCGGGCTGTACTTTCAGATTGTTTGAGGGGATTGGCTGGAAGCCAGAATTCTGGTTTGGTTTCTGGTTTGAAGAATCCATATTTGGCATCAAGTCACTGAAGTGAAAGGGCTGGAAGGTTCTGGAGGCCCCCTCACTTGCCAGTCCCATAGAAGGACTGAGTTATTTTTTATCTTGTCACTGAAATTTAGTTATATAAAAGAAGTTCTAAATTAATTTAAATGTGTGACAGGTCAACATGTTAGGAAGGAGCCAAAAAGTATTCATTCTGCTACTCCTTATGAGATAGGCATCATGCTGATAGCTGGGAAATGGGGAGTTTTGTTTATATACTATGCACTAACAAGTATTTTTCAGCATTCATTTATGCATTAATATGGTTCTACAGGACCCCAGCTATGAGGAACAAAATTCTCCCCCCAGACTCCTGGATGGCTACATAGATTTCCAACTTCCCCATTAGTTTTCTCCATAGATGTCTATAAGCTCAATGTCTCAAGGTTGCAAAAATCTGGTATACTCTCCAGGAATAGTAGGGTAGCAAATTTAGGCTCTCTTCTAAATCACTTGTATGAGTGCCTTCGCAACTTCACCCCAAAGTGCTACTTATATTTCCCAAGGTTTTTTCTATTTAAACCATATTTAGTTTCAGGCCCCTTTTTGGACATGTGGTAACAGAAATCCTGTTTAGAGTGATTCTTATTTTCTAAATTAATGGAGACTGCACCAGGTGAATGTAGGTAGAGAAAATCAAGGTAGTACCTTGGTATTTATTAATCCCACCAGATACCATATTTTAGAAGGGTTCATGCTTCAGGATGAGTTTGTACCTAGAATGCAATGTGAAAGTTAAAATGTTTAGAGGGCAGATGCAATTCTGGCAAGTGACCAGCCAATAAAGTAGGTATAGCCATAGAAGCTGGCCTAGGTATGCCTTTTATGGTGCTTTCTCCTTGTGAACACATTAGGCTCTTCTTTTTTCTTTTCCCTTCTCCTCAGAGCTCTTTGCTTTAAGAAGTTAAATGATGAACATCTCCAGCTTTATAATGCCCTCACCACACCATTTCATATCCATCTCCCAGTCTCCATCTACACTCAGCTTAAGGGCATGAAACTAACCTAGTGCCTGTGTTCCAGACCATTTCTAAGGTCTCTTACCCACCCAAGGAGACAGTGCTTCAGCACTGTCATCCTCTATGCCTTCAGCAGCCCCCCTCAGCTAAAGTACACACCCACCCCTTCTGCTACCCCGCTTCCACCCCGGCACAGAGGTCATATGCTGCTTATGTCTAAAGGGATCCCCTATATTTAACTGCCTCAGTGACCTAACCTCTTTCTTCTCATGTGCCAGATGTTAAGATGAAGGTAGACTATAACACATACTCAAGCCTCAGCTGTTTAATTATGTTTTCACTGGGGCTCATTTTTCTTGGATGGTATATATTACCAGACTGGCAAGCCTAACTCCTTAGGTTTACAGGAAGTATGCATATTTTTATAAAATAATTGTATGTCCGCCCCATATTTTGCTGTGTTAATATTTGCCCCTAACAACTTGCAGCTGTTTCTTCATTTGTCTCTAAGTTGAAGGCCTTGTTGGAAGGGACAGAGCACAGGAACAGCCTTGACAGTCTGTAATTATTGTACAAATTTTTAAAAGCATATAAATGAGTATATTCCTTTTATTTTGGAAAAGATCAGACACTGCCTTTTGTGTGTTTGCTGCCTGTGGCACCCTTTTTTAAAAAGACTGTTACATATTAAGATAGTGTACATATATATAAATATTACCTCTTTTGCTGTACAGTTGTGATAGACCAGACTGAAGATTTTATTTTTTGTGTGCTTTTTATAAAAAAATAATAACACACTAAAGAAAATCTTGATGTGATTGATTGTAATGTACCTATGTAACTTATTTACTTTTGAATGTTGTGTATCTTTAAACCTTTTATTAAATAAGGTTTTAAAAATTCAGAGTTGAATGCTGTGTTCTTTTGGGGAGATTTTCACCATCTGGGATTGACCTTGTTTTGCTTGCAGGGGATTACTTGACGTTTGTGAGCCGTAAGTATTCTTTTTTATCAGCCCATTGTCAATGATTCCAGGACACGGGAAATGACACTAGCGTTTGCCCAGCTATAAAGATTTAAGGCCATAGGTCTTTTTGCAAAATTTTAGGAAAAAATTCTCAGTGTCTCACATAAAAACATGCAAATGGCACATTTCCAACGTTTTAGTTTCATTGCTATGAAATATGGAGCATGCAGTGTGCCATCAAGTGGCACAGAGAAGCCGCGGAGGGCATTTTCATATGCAGCGCTGATTCATTGAACAAACGACGTGAGTAGACAAGTCTGCCTTGATAGACGCATTTTCAGCAATATCATCATAAATCCACTTCAGAATTATGCTTTAAAGACGGTGCTTCATATAAAAAAAAAAAGATTCCTAGAAAACGTGAAAAACGAATTGCGCCATCTGAGAAACCAGTACCCGGAGCCCCTCTGACACCATGGCAACTAACTTCACGACCCCACGGGCCGCGGAAGTGCGCGGGCCTCGCGTCTTTAGGGCCACCGTTGCCATAGCTACGCTCTCGCCGGCTGGGCCGCGGGGGCGGGCGGGGCGGAAGCCGTCGGCTGAGCCGGCCCCTCCCTCCACTGCGACAGAAACTCCTCCGCTGGCTGAGGGTCGGTGGGGTTGGCAGTCGAGTTGCGCCAGAGAGCTGCAGCCCGCGCGCACTGCTGCTCCAGCCTCGCTTTCTTAGGCGTCCCACGCCTCCACTGGCTGTGTCCTCGGATCTCGGCCGTCCTTCCCGCCTGGCGCGGTACCTTGCACCCGCAACCATCCTGGCGTCTGGCTGGCCCTGCAGTCGAGACCTCAAAAGTCTCCCCCTCCGGGGGCGTCACACGCTTCGTACGCAAAGCAGCTGCCCCTCGCCTGCCTGAAGTCCCGGCTCGGACCGCGAACGCCTGATAGACTCCGGCAGCATCAGCGAGTGCCCCCCCGACCCAGCTGCGGAGAGTAGGCGGCCCCACCCCGCCATCACACCCCAGCGACCTCTCCAGCCCTGCGGCTCTCGCCTTCGTTGCGCGTTTTCGTTCTTTGCCTACTACTCTGACACCCAGCCGGCTGATGGAGGACCCCGGCCACGGACCCCCACTAGGGACTCAAGATGGCGGCGGTCGCATGATTTACGACAGCATCCCCCAGCCTTCGCTCTGAGAACCCGCCGACGGACTAAGTTTGGGGTACAGCGAAAGAACAAGATAGGACTGTGGTGTCGTTTGTTACTTGTGATTGCGTGAAGCTTGTGTTCCTCGGGCGTAGTGGGAAGAGTGTCTCCTGTTGTCCTGAGTCTTAGATTAGGCTGTTGTCCCCAGCCTAAACGGTATTCGTAGAATTGGGGCCCTTGAGAGTTGAGAAAATGGCGATGACACTGTTGGAAGACTGGTGCAGGGGGATGGACGTGAACTCCCAGAGGGCCTGCTGGTCTGGGGGATCCCAGTGAATTGTGATGAAGCCGAAATCGAGGAGACCCTCCAGACTGCGATGCCCCAGGTGCCCTATCGAGTGCTTGGGAGAATGTTTTGGAGGGAAGAGAATGCGAAAGCAGCCTTGTTAGAGTTCACTAGCGCCGTCGATTACTCTGCAATCCCCAGGGAGATGCCTGGTAAAGGAGGGGTCTGGAAAGTGGTCTTTAAGCCCCCGACCTCCGATGCTGAATTTTTAGAAATATTGCACCTCTTCCTAGCAAGAGAGGGGTGGACCGTGCAAGATGTTGCCCGAGTCCTTGGGTTTCAAAACTCCACTCCATCCCTAGGCCCAGATATGCCAGCAGAGATGCTAACCGATATTTTGGATAATGTTATTCAGCCTCTTGTTGAGTCCATTTGGTACAAGAAGCTGACGCTGTTCTCCGGGAGGGACATCCCGGGGCCTGGGGAGGAGACCTTTGATCCCTGGCTGGAGCACACTAATGAGGTCATAAGGTCATAGAGGAATGGCCGGTGTCAGATGTAGAGAAGAGGCGGCGGTTGATGGAGAGTCTTAGAGGCCCCGCAGCTGATGTAATCCGCATCCTCAAGACCAACCACCCTGCGATAACCACTGCAGAATGCTTGAAGGCGCTTGAGCAGGTGTTTGGGAGCGTCGAGAGCTCTCCGGATGTGCAGGTCAGATTTCTGAACTCTTACCAGAACCCGGGAGAAAAGTTATCTGCTTATGTCATTCGTCTGGAGCCTCTGTTGCAGAAAGTGGTGGAGAAAGGGGCCATCGATAAAGATAACGTGAACCAGGCCCGCCTGGAGCAGGTCATTGCCGGGGCCAGCCACAGCGGGTCTATCCGAAGGCAGCTGTGGTTGACCGGGGCTGCGGAAGGGCCGGCCCCTAACCTTTTCCAGCTGCTGGTGCAAATACGCGAAGAGGAAGCCAAAGAGGAGGAGGAGGAAGCTGAGGCCGCCCTCCTGCAGTTAGGCCTTGAGGGGCACTTCTGAGTCCCAGAAATGGGCTTTAGTGCGGCTCTAGAGCACTGCCCTGCCCTTGTCCCTGTGTTTTTTTACAGGTGTTTCTTAGTAGTAAACACAACACTTAGCCATGTTCTCTTTTCGGGGGCGGAAGTCAGGCCTGCGTATTTATGTAACAGTAAAATGGTGCAAGCAAGCACTCAGCTGCTACAATGACAGATGAAAGCTTTGGACACATGCTCAGTGCAGGCTGTCATAGCAATCATAATCAGTTGTGAAAAACGTGAACCTGTAATACTTCCCATCAAGGTAATTAAATGTGAAACTGCATGTTAAGATGTTTAGTGCAGCGCCTGGCTAAACACAGGAGTGTTTAGTAAATGTGAACTGTTAGCTACTAATTCGTGAATAATATTTCCTTACTGCAAATTACTGATTTATATTAATGGAAAGAAATGTGAATCAATTAGATATTTAATTTCACAGTGCAAATTTTTTATATGCCATCTTTAAACACCTGCATCAGTTTAATGGGAAAGTATTTTGAGGCTACAAAATAGGGTGTTAGAAATATACTCCCAAATCTTTATTGAGCTGTGTAAATCAGATTTTTCCACTATTCAAGATACAGATATAAATTGCATGGGGAGGTTAATATGAACCAGTTACAGTATCCATTCTCCCATTTCAAGTCTTTGTCATTAATAGTTTTCTTGTTCATACTGACTTTTAAGTGTTCTAAATTTGAAGTTATTAAATACATGTATACAAATAAAAATATTTTTAAAATTCTATTGTCTTCTGATTTTGACATGTATAGGAAGACTTCCCCATGTCACTAAAAAATCAAACCTCATTTTATCTTTAAGCTTTATATTTTAAGTTGCAGTACTTTCAATGTATTCAAATTTTGCATGTTATCTACAAGGCAAATTTAAGAAGGCTAAATAGATATAAGTAAATATATAAAATTAGAAAATCCTGAAGTGGGGTTCAGGCGGTTATTTAGCAATGCTTTTTCTCCCCTTCTAGCTAAAAATTGCTCACTGCAAGAATAACTCGTCATACCTGTGTAAAATGAATGTTTAAATTTTACAAAAGCTATTTTATATCAGGAGGGAAAAAAAAGGAAATGTAGCCTAAAAACATGTTTTTTGGATGCAGAGATTCAGTGACTAAAGATGTCTATCTTTTGAGATCTAGTAAATCCAGAAGTGATTACACAAACATCAAAGTTCAGTGGAGCTTTTCTTAGTAACAAGGCCTTCTAAAATTACAGCAGACCTATCTAACAATCATAAGAAGATTTAATTATTATAAAGGCTAATATTGGTATATGTTCTGATTTTTCTGTACACACCTCATGTTCTCTCAACACACATCTCCACATATTTGACCCCTCCAACAGACGTTCCTGTTCCCCTCTCCCCCACTCAGCTTTCCCTCCAGTCCCACAGGCATGATGCTGGCGCACACACTCCCTTCACCCCATACAACCTTCATCTTCACACATTCTCTCCCTCCTGTCCCCCAACACTCCATCATAAACATACTTCCTCCTCCCACCAGACATACTCTGCACCATAGTTCCCCACTACCACCGTGCATTCCCATTTCCCTGCACATAGACACACACTCCTAACACACCTGACCAGCTACCACATACATGCACATACTCCCGCTTCACACACACATTATATTTGTAATGAAAACGGGTTCATTTTTTTCACTCAGTATATTATGGGCATCCTGTGTATATTAAATACATATACATATATATTTAATACAACACCTATATATGGCATAAAACAATATCAGGATTCGAGATGTCCACTGTTCTAGAAATCAGTGATCTAAAAAGATAGTAATGTGCTGTTTATGATCTGAATTAAGGTTTTTCTCTTTATAGGCTCAGAAATTAAAATCTTTCTGCTTTTTAAAGCAAGCCAGCAGCAAGAAACATCCTTATAACCAAAGAACTGTGTAATAAAGAAATAGAAACTGTACTTCAGTTCCACTCTGACCAAAATTGCATTTGGCTGATAGTATAGAATATATAATGAGAATAATGTGTGATATTACTGCTATTACTGGGTTCTTCCTATTGTGTATCAAAAAGGGGCTGGCTAACAGATTATTCCAGACAACAAATCGAGGGCCTATCTGCCAACTTTAATCTTGTTCATTTTTGGAAGTGAGGGGAGGATAGGAATTGGCAAGTGCCGTCGTAACTTGCTGCTCTTGAAAGCAACTCCTTCCAGGATCCTACTCATTTGAAGCAGTGCCCAAAGAGTTTCTGGGGAAGACTAACAAACCTGGGAGATGAGATCATCATTGGTAGTGAACTGAACTACTGAAGAAAAAATATAGCAAACAGAGATTACTCTCTCTCTTCCTCCCTCCCCTTCCCGCTCTCACACACACACTCACAGATGTGTGGAATGTTATCCAAAACCTGAATTTCTTTCGAATTATCATTGGAAATGCACATTGTTGGTCTATGGTGCTAACACTAATGGTCATGTAAACAAAGATACAAATTAATTTTTTATAAAATAACACAATTTATTACTATTTCAAAACAAGTCTCACAAAATAACACTCAGAAACATTTCTAAATAATTTAACACAATAAGTTTAGTCATATACACAAAATTCCTGCATATAAAAGATTATCACCAAAGTATTAATAGATGTTAAAATGTTTTTCAGAATGGAGTTGGTTCTGGAAGCCAAAGATTCTGGAATAATGCTCGTGATCATGACTGACATGTTGGGAGAAATAGCTGACTATATGTATATTCTTTACAGCTACTAAGTTGCCAGTCTTGACGGGCTTGATCCTTCTAGGCACTAGAGAGGCAGGTACCCTGCTGATCAAAGAAGCAAACAATTTCCCACCCTCATAATACTTGCCACAACTTAATTTAGCCAACATCTAAATTAATTTTTAAAATCTAGATGTGGGAAAGATATCTCCTGAACAGGAGAATTCTACATCCCTGGGGGATGACTATCAAGGTAGCAGATATGGAAGATGTCACCACGTAGAGAAACAGGGAAATCCTGATTCTGATTATGTCAGCAGACAACTACTAGTCAGTTGGGCTTAGAAGGAGCAAGAGTGAGGTTTGGTTCTCTAATATCCATATGCAGGCTAGGTATTTACCCATCTGTCTTTTGGGAGTACTTCCTACCAACATCCAGTTGATAATTTTAAAGTGCAAATCTACTGAAAAATAGTTTACTCTCCCCACCCCCTTATTATATTTGCTATATCATAATTTGGTTGGTTGGTTTCACTCTAACCTTCCTAATATGGGAAATTAACAAGAATCCAGTTATGATTTCTCCAAGTGTCAAATGAAAACTTATCTTGGGTCAGAAAAAGGTAAGACTCAGTCTAGTTTTTCCTTTCAATTTTCTTCCTTTGCAAATCACTGGTTTATAAAAAGGCAGGAACAGAGACAAGAGGTGGGATTTCTAGAAGTTCAGTGATTTTTTTAAAAGATACCCTTTTTAAAAAAGGTATCTTTTGCATTTTTTAAATTGCACCTATTTTATGGTTTTCAAAAAAAAAAACACCTCATGCTAGAATGAAGATAAAGGAATATGGTCAAGTTAGCTGTGTCAAAGGCACCAACTCTGCTACACTGAATCTTATTTTATATTTACTTACAGACACATTAAGCAGAGCAAATAATAAATGTGTGCCCAAGGAATTAATTTCTGATAAAGGATACACTTTAATTTAGTTTTCAGTTAGTTTTCTCTCATTAACAATACTTACAATGTAAGGTCACTGTGAACTGAGAGACTACAGTTAGAGACACTGACTACTCATGATCTATGCTTTGATACTTCCCCTCAACTTTTTTTAAGTTAATGATTAAATTCAACCTTCCTAGGCCCTACACATTTCCCATTTAGTCCTAAGAAAAACCCAGGTGGAAGACACTGGGTCACAGAGATAACTACCTTCAATTCTATTTATGCATCACCAATTCTGAGAGTACATCAACAGTTAAGATTCATTTCTTATTCCTCCTTATTCTATTTCAGAGCACTAGTAAAAGGTATCAGAAGAAGCACTTAATTGAAGTCAAAACTTTTCTTTCCACACTGGAACCACATTTAAGGGTCTTACACTATTTCTTTGTGGAATGGATCCAGTAACCCCACTAAGTTATTAACCAGTTATCATGACCAGACATACTTTTGATCACATCCAAAATCGGTGTCTATAAAAGCTAACTTTCATATATGGTTACCAAATTTTATACATTTTTCTGTATTTAATGGCTGCTACAGACTGCTAAATTCTGTGCATTCCTGGACAATGAATGATCACTTAAGGAATGATGATCCATTTCTAAAGTATACTCAAAATGTTAAACTTTAGAGACAAAGCAAAATCTATTACAAAGTTGGATTCTGTTGAGAGTAAGAGAGGTAGATTAATAAATCTGTCTTAAGCAAGAATGCTAAGAAATAAAAGTCAAAGACCTGCTGAAGAAAAGTAAGTTGAACTGTTCCAGCCCTGAGTTTCTAATGGTATGTGAAAATAATTAAAATGAGCATTACAAAAAAGAAAAACACCAGTGGCCATTTCCTTCCATCCATGATTATTAAATACATTATCTTCTCTCACCCTTCTGTGGCATATGGCTACAGAGAGAAAATAAATGGACCCTGTACAAAAAGAATGTTGGTATAAAGCACTGGTTCTTAACCAGAGCAAATTTGTTCTCACCCTCTTGCCCCAGGGGACAGATGGCAAGGTCTGAAGACATTTTTGGTTGTCACAACTGGGGAGGAGGTTCTGCTGGCATCTAGTAAGCAGAAGTCAAGATTCTGCTAAACATCCTATAATATACTGGGCAGCGGCTCACAACTTATCCAGCTCAAAATGTTAACAGTGCCCAGGTTGAGAAACTCTGGTTTAAAGTAACAAACTCCTATTAACAGAGAACACAAAAACCTTTAAAGGCCTAACCAGGTAATACAGCCACAATCTCAGAGTTAGGTAACATATAAAATCTGAATTCCTTGGGAGACTAAAATCAAATTTCCTGTGAAAAATTAAAATAGTGAACTAATTCCAGAACTCTGCCATCATTACAAAAAACAGAAGAAATTTAAATGATCCATTAAAATGGTATACTGCTTTAAATCAGTATGACAGAGAATCCATTCCAAATAGGTCAAGTATCTAATCCAAGAAGCATAAATCAAAGGCATTTAATATCAGCTAAGTTTGAAGCAGTGAAGGATGGCTTAAGGAATGATTTGAGAGAATATTCAGAACTTCATACACCCTATCTTCTGTTTTCTAATGGCATGGATTCTGGCTTTAATTCTATGGAAAGGATGCATAGAAGTTGTTCAAACATTTGTTGAACGGAACTGAGTATAAATTTTGTGTGAAATGGACACAGAAAAGCACCTTACATTTCTCTGAGAACTACCAATGATTAAAAGACATTAAAAAACAAGGAGAAACAGAGAAAATTAGTTTCTGTATTATGGGATTCAGAAAAAGCAAACACCAGCAGGATGAGCCATTTTATAAATAAATTCAATATGAAGTTATCCATTCCCTATTATATTCACTTACAGAGTAACTTTTAGAAAATACACCCACACATAGCAATATGGCTTCAAGCTTGCCAACGAGATGAAGTGCAAACTATAAGTAGTTTCTCCCTTACCTTATAGGCCTTAAACATCACCAAGGGAATGCTCATTGCCTGTGGTTCACAAAAGACATACCCAAAGGCTTTGAATGTATAAGCCAGTCAGAGTAAAGATTTCTTCCTTTCAGACTGTAAGGAAGAACTAAAAGGGGGCTAAAAAAAAGTGGTCCCTTTTGATCAGAGTGACTCAGGGAAATCATGTAATTCTTAAATAATAGATGAAATCTTCTGATACCTAGAATTACTTCTGCAGTCACTTTTAAAAAAATAACTCTCCCCTCTTTCATTTTACACAAGTAAATGGGGAAATAAGAATCAATAGTCTCTGGTTGAGGGACTTTAGGCACAATTTGGCAGAGGGCCTCTGACTTCTTTTCTGCAATCTATCAGTGATTCTCACAGCCTGCTATGGACTTCATCTGGTTACTACTACCATTACCTTGCATTTTCCAAAAAGGATTTTTTTCGTATGTGATAAATTCTAAGCTCTGCATCCAATGACTGCTTTGCAATTTTGAAGTTAAATCACCTGCAATCCTCAAAAATATTGCCATTTGTCTGGGATCCCATAATCTTTTCCTTCTACCACCACTTACATAATTCATTTTAAGTGCTGTTTAACTAAGAACTTTTCTAAAAGTATATTTTGAAATACTAAATTTTATTCATTGAAAGGTACCAAATCCAGTCTTTAAATTCTATACCCTATACAATCACTTCTCTGATGTGAAGGTCAACAGACCAAAATTCTTACATGAATGGCCAACATTTAGGCTAGGAATTCAAACATAGCTACTGCTTATATGTGTTTTCTTCTATAGTATATAAGGAGCTATAAACCAAAAAGTGTGCCTAAGACCAGGTCCACATGAGTAACATGGCCACAGTTTTGGTCAAAGGAATGATCATGATAGTCACTTTAACCACTGACCTGGATCACAGAACAACTGACTCACTGGGTACAGTGACTAAAGTGGCTATGCATGTAAACACAACCTAAATTCCAGTTGACAATGCACACAGTTTTGGAAAAACAAATAAGCAAATATAGCATGGGTTGTAAGACTTCCAAGATTAATTTTTCCCTTTTTCATCACAGCTTTTCCAAATTGAACTTTGGAGTCTTTGTTCTAGGGTGGCTGTTATATTTCTAAAAGGAAGTCTCCTCATCACCATGCTGCCTTTTGAGCCAAAGACATGACACATTTGTGCTTCTGAGTCATAAGAGATGGACCTTCAGGAAAGATAATTTACAGATTCAAAAGTATATATATATTTAAATACCTGGCCTAAAAAAACCCTAAACAACTGAATAAAGAACCACATTTGTTGCTTTGTTGTTAAAAATGACTGGTTTATAAAGGTTTCAGAAGGTAGAGCCACGTAATACACAACTGAAACTGAAGACAGAACTTGAAAATTTGTAGTTTCTAAAAAGAGGACTAGAATATATAAAATTGGTGTTACTGTTTTGGGGGAGAAACATGGAATAGTTTTAAAAAAAAAGGATGGAGATATTTGTTTTATCCTAAAACCTTTTGGCCCACACAGAATCTTCAAAATAGAAAATTATACAAAACTTATCTATTGTTCTTATGACATTTAAATAAGTTAACACAAAGCAGAAAATGTGGCATTAGTTTTCTTCTTCTTCATCCTCTTTAATTACTGGAGTCCCTAAAATGAAAAAGAAAATTATTTAATTGTCTTGTCATTCCCACAGTGTTAAAATTCTAAATGATAAGACTTTGTTGTTAACCTGAGAATCTCTGAGATGCTGTGAAGTGTGCCATAATAAAAATAATCCCTTTAATTTCAAATTACCCAAAAAGCCTCCCAGGAGAATTCTCAAGTAGATTATATAAATAGTTCTGAGTATTTGGCTCCACAAATGCAGAGTTGCAGATAAAAATGCCTATAGAAAAATAAAGCCCTATACCCAATAAAGATTTTTTTGTTAATACAAAGAAACATTCCTTTTTCACAATAAAATATATAATCCCAGTGTTGCCAGAAATCTGAATTTTTGTTACTTCCCCAAATATTAAGTTGGGAGTAAACTGGGAAAAAAATAAAAAGATTGGAAGCACAGAAAACAAAACATACCTGCAAGCTCACACTGGACCAAGGGCCATGCATTTCTGAGCTCTGGCATTTGAAGCTTGCCCACAATCTGACCCCAGTTAACTATCAGGTCTTAACTCTTCAGGCAGTAACCCTCCACTCAACCTAAACTGATCAACTCACTGTCTTCCAAACTCATCTTGCACACTCTTACTGCTGAACTCTTGATTAACAAAGTTCCTGAATTTTGGAAAGCTGTACCCTGCCCCCAACTCTCCTTCCACCTAAACCCTACCCTCAATTAAGAACCAACTCCAGGGCCTCTTACTCTGTGATCCTTCTTAAATGAATATTTATGTCCTGTATGGCAGTGTGCTGAACTCCCCACAGCATCTGTTTGCAGTAGGAGAGTGAATGTTTTATTCAAATATAACATACATGTAGAATACATGAATTATAAGTGTGGAGATCAATAAATGTATGCAAAACGAATACATCTGGTAACCACCATCCAGATTAGGAAAAAAACATTTTCAGAATCCAAAAAACTTTCAGTCACTATTCCCCCACTAAAGATATATTCTATTCCAATGTTTGTAACCCATAGGTTCTTTTGCCTGCTTTTGAAACTGATATGAATGGAATGCACAGGCACTCTGTGTCTGGCTTCTTTTGCTCAACACTGTTTATATGATTCATTTATATTGTGTGAAGTTGTAGTTCATCCATTCTCATTGCTGTTTAATATTCCATTGTATGAATGTCATAATTTGTCTATTCAATTGCTGATAGGCATTTGGATTGTTTCCAATTTATAGCTATTAAAGTAGTGCTGCAATGAACATTTTCATACATGTCTTTTGGTAAACATACTTACCCTTTTCTTTCTGGGTATACAGCTTGGAGAAAAATTGCTGGGTAATAAGGGATGAGTATATACTTCTATAGAACTTCAGATATTGCCAATTTTCCAAAATGATTATAACAAGTCACACTGCCAATCTGGCAGGGTATGAGAGTTCTCCACATCCCACTAGTACTTGGTAGTGTCTTTTTTATTCCAGTTTTTAAGATGCCTCAGTTTTGCTTATAAGAAACAAGCAAGGAGCAAAAATACGCAAGTTAGCATCTGTGGCCATCTTTGTTCTGTTCTATCTCATCCATTTAGGATAGACCAATGTGGTTCCTCCAAGAACTGTTCAGATTGGCCTGAGGCTAATAATTGGTTCAAAAGGCTATAATGTGGCTTGGTCTATTCAGGGTCTACATGAGAGGTTCTGTTCCGTTCTCAAGGAAAGGGACTCACTTCCTGTGTGCAGTCCTGAAGGAAGTAAAGACAAGCAATTTCCAGTGGTTTCTGGAGTCCAACCAAAGATGAACAAAAGAGACTCTAATGTCTCTATCTTCTTTTTCTATTTTATTTTTAACTGTGAAATAAATGCATTCATACAAATACAATATAATTTAAAGAGTTAACAAGACTGACTGTATAAAGTGATTGTATAACCACTACCCAATTTAGGAAACATTACCACGCATCTTAGAAACCTGTTTGCCTCTTCTTCATTATTCCTGTACTTCCCCACAAGAGGTAATGTATTGGTCTTGTATCCTTATACCCTTAGGAAAGGGTATAAGTACATAATTACCCTTAGGTAAATATATCCGGAGGAAAAAAGAGAACATTCAGCATGATTCCATTTAAATAAAATTCTAGCAAATACAAACTAATTTATATGGACAGAAAGCAGATCAGTGATTGGCTTGGGAGGGAGGTGGCAAGGAACAAGAGGGAGGGATTACAAAGCAGCACAAGGAAACTTTTGGGTGTGATGTTTATGTTCATTGTCTCTTTTTCCCAAGATTTACTTAGATAGGATTGACATATAACATTGTGTAGGTTTAAATGTGGTGATTTGATACATAGTATATATTATGAAATGATCACCACAATAAGGTTAGTTAACACAGCCACCACAGTTACCTTTTGAATATATATAGTGAGAATTTTTAAGATCTTAAAAGATCTACTCTTTCAGTAACTTTCAAGTATACAACACAGTACTGTTAACTATAGTCACCATCATTTGTTCACTATCTTAATTGTGGTGATGGTTTTAGATGCATATACATATATCAAAACATCAAATTATATACTTTAAATATATGCAGTTAATTGTACATCAATTATACTTCAATCAAGCTGCTAAAATGTTTTGGTGTAGGAAAAGAGCTACTTAAGAGATTTTTATATCATAATTCTCAATTGGAGGACAGATGAGCACATCTCTTTCAGGGAGGCATATTAGAATTACCTATAAAACTTTTCAAACCATGTAGACTGCCTTAGCTCTCTCCCTAAAGATTTTGAAATATCCCTCCACAGGGAAGCAGCCCCATTAAGAACATTTAAGAAGTAAGCTGGGGTGAATAAAGGGTTGAGTACTGAGCTTTAGATAGAAGTGGTAAAGGAGAGATGGAGAGACAAAGAATAGGACGGCTAGAATGGCAGGGCAGCAGGGGCAATGAGGTGGTGAGAGAAGAGTTGAGGGAAAAGAAGCCTCAGCTATAAACAACTAGGTACTTTTGTTTTTTGTTTGTTTGTTTGTTTGTTTTTTTAACTAGATATCTGGGCACCCTGCTGCCCAGTCAAGTTTTTTTTTTTTTATTAAGGTATCATTGATGGTCCTTTTGTTTTGGATGTGATGATCAAGTGAGTATGGTGAATAAGACAGTAAGGTAAATATGCATTTGGTACATGGTATGATGATGATGATTATCATTAACTGGATATTACTTATTTGTTTCTTCTAAATATTTTCCTTTCCCTAGTCAGGTAGGCTAATTGGTTCTGTGCATCGTTGGCTGCTTCAGGAGCAGTGTGAAAAGCAGAAACAGACTGTCAGACTTAATGGCTCTTGTCTTTGAAAAGCCTACGAGCATCACTGAGAAGATAAGAGTTTGTGAAAAGATTCAGAATGCTGTGGAAAAGGCAGAGGGGGACAGCAACTCTCCTTAGACTAGAAAGTTATTTCCCAGGACTGGCAGAAAAGGGAGAAGTCTGTGCGTTCTGGAACAGTTGGAATCCTGGCCTGGCTTCCTGATACCACCACTGGGAGGAGGTAAGAAACAGAGAAGTCTGTGACTATTATCATTTCCAGTTTTTAAATTACAAACGAACAAGATGTGGTAAGATGAATTAACTGGTACAATGACAAAAAAGTTATTAAGTGGTAGAATAGGATTTGAACCCAGTTAGTTAGGGATACCTACTGACATTGACACCCAAATGGATATTGGGAGGCTAAGTTAGCGGGGAGGGGTAGAGAGAGCACTACAATTTTGATCAAATCATGAAAAAGCAACTGCTTACCATTTATGTCTAATTATTCTACAAAATAATATCTTTGTGACTTGAGATTAAGTCCAGTTTTCTTATAAGCTTTTGGTTTAGCGATGACCTTATACGGTCTAAATATCCTAGGAGTTTTTCCTCTCGTGCTGGCTCAAGCTCAGATCATAAGATTTCCTTGAAAAGAAATGGCCTTGAGGATTAGAGACAACCTATCATTTTCTTTAGTTCTGCTTCTTTTCATGATTCCAGGTCACAAATTCAATTCATATTTGTACCTAAAAAACATTTCTAAGCCAGCTCAGAGTCACCTACCATCCAGCTTTTTCAGTTTGGGCACTCTCTTGGTTGCCTCCTCAATCCAGTTCCCCTCAGCAGAGTGTTTTTCTTCCAAGGGATTCCCTACAAACACCAGATCTTCCAGGCATGGCAGTTCTGCCAGCTTCAGAAATTCAGCTACAAATACAAAGAATACGTTCCATTAAAATGGAAAAATTTACTATTATGATTTTTGAGGCTGAATTGCACTGTCACTAGCCCTCGTTTGTGACTATTCAGAACAATGCGTTGTTTAAGATTTTGAAGGGAGTAAGGCAAGTTTTACTATATGAAGTCATTCTCTGAAGACGTTACAGAAAGGGAGGGAAAACAAAGACATACCTCTTCTACCTTTATGCTAGCCTAAGGATGGGATAAGAAAAGGAAATGAGGTTCAGAATAAAAAAGACAACAAAACAATCTCCAGTGACAGATCTTCTCTATGCTGTACTGCATCAGTGTGGGCTAAGCTAAACTGCTTTTGTCTCTACCCATTCCCTCATTTTTGAATTCTTAAATCAACTCATTCAAGCCTCTACTGCAGAACTTATCACATAATTTTATAATTATTAGCTTATAAGTTATACTTCCCCACTAAGCTGTGAATTTGATGACAGGGATAGTGCCCTATTTAACTACGTGTCTCAAGAGCCTGGCATAGTTCATGGCACATAATAGGGCTTTAGTAAATGCTGAATCAATCATATACAATACAAAAGCATAGCAATATAGATGTCAAATAAGTCTTCCACCCAAAAATTATTAAATTTAAACTGATTCCTTTCACCCTTCGGACAGTAAATTTTTTTCATTATTAACAGGATCAGGATCTATTCAATTATAATCATTCTAAGTAAAAATTTAAATGTAAATTTCAAGAGTTTAGCTGAAATACAAAAACTCTGATAGCTATTTCCCTCTGTGCTTAGAATGAAACGTCTCCATTTTGCATCTGTTCTCTCTTGGGCTATTTTCTATAAACAGGAGGTAGAACATTGGCAAAGAGCCAGCCTCAGCTTACCCCAGTCTTTCACCAGGTTATTAGACATGTACAGAATCTTCAATTTCTTCATTACATGGATTCCTTTCAACTTCTCAATAAAATTGTAGGAGATCCACAGTTCTTCTAACGTGTCCCCTACAGCTTCCTGAAAAAGAAAGCAACTTGATTTACATGCTTATTTTTAAGCTTTTCCTTCTATCCCCTTCCTTATAACATGGAGACAGCTATGTCGGAGTTTTCTCTCATTAAAAAAGTCAAGTAGAACATTCCCATCCTCTCCTCAAACTGATCTAAGAATAGCTACTGAAATCACAAAGAAGGGAAAAATAGCACTATCTTATAAATTTTATTGAAAGGCATAGTTTTCAAACTATCCCTATATATTGTACTATTTGATCCTTGTAACATTTAAGATAGGCAAAGCAGGTTATCTGATTTCTACCATAGAGCGTAAGGGCTTTTTCTAAATCACAGTGCTATTAAATAGTAAAGCTAGTCTAAAATTTCAGGGTCTTTACTTTTTCAATATTTATTATGGAAATTTCAAAATGTAAAAAATGTTGAAAGAACTTAATAGTAAAGATCCATATATCCACTATCCAGACTCTACCATTAACATTGTACTATCCTTTTCCTATTATGTATCTGTCCATCTATCCATCCCATTATGTATCCATCAACTCCTCTTATTTTTTGATGTATGAAATATAGTTTGAAACCTATAATTTTTCCATTATAGCATAAAGATTATATCATACTGACTTTTAAACTTTTTAAATGAGGGCACAAAGATTTCTTCTTTTATATACCCAAGACAAAATGTAGTGATTATTTCTTCTTTAAAAAATAAACACCAAGCAGGATGAACTTTCTTGTGAATATGACTTTGTGGAACAAGAATTTCGTATGTGTACTGACTTAGAAATGTATAGATTTTGGATGTCCAGGGCATAGTTCTATCTCTCAATACAGTTTCAATCTATTCTACTGTTTTTTATACTTCCCTAAATACAAGGATTCATTAACTAGTTCAATTAGATTACTATTTTTATGTGTTGTAATCATTTGCAAAGTGATTGGTGTTTAAAATATGAAACTGACATTCTACAAAGACGGACTGACAAACCCAACAGCTGGGATGAAACAGTGGCAGTAAATTAACATTAATAAAATCTTAAAGCTAATTTCAAAAGATGTTGAAACCATTCCAAGTAACACAATTTTCTATATATTTGTAAGCAGGTAATAAAGACAAGATTTTGGTGAAGCGGTCTGGTAAAACTTGGCTAAATTTGTATGAATCAATTTAGTGAAATCTATCACTCAAAAAACTGGCCCTTTGGAGAACAGGACATTACATGAACAGGCATTTCGTAAACTTGTCTGCTTCTATATGTGAAATCATTACCCTTCTTAGTTTATTATTCTGTAAAATGCAGAGGATGGCTCAATTTCCAAATAAGATACTACCTTACAACCATTAGAATGGCTAATATCAAAGAAACAGGAAATAACAAGTATTGGCAAGGATATGGAGAACCTGAAATGCTTACATACAATTGGAAAGAATGTAAAATGATGCAGATGCTAATGGAAAAAACAGTTTGGTGGTTCCTTCAAAAACTGACAATATATGATCCAGCAATCCCACTTCTGGGCATATACCCAAAAAAACTGAAAGCAGGGTTTCAAAGAGATATTTGGATACCCATGTTCATAGCAGCACTATTTACAATACCCCAAAGGTGGAAACAACCCAAGTGTCCACTAGTGAATGAATAAACAAAATATGGTGTATACGTATAATGGATTATTACTGCTTCTTTAAAAGGAAATTCTGATACATGATACAACATGGATGAACCTTGAGAACATTATGCTCAATGAAATAAGTGGTGTATGATTCCACTTATATGGGTGGCCTGAGTACTCACATTCATAGAGACAGAAAGTAGAATGTTGCCAAAGTTTGGGAAAGGACAATGGGTGCAGAGGTGCAGTTTTACAAGATGAAGAGAGTTATGGAGATGGATGGTGGTGATGGTTGCACAATACACATGTACTTAATACCTTGAACTGTGTACTTAAAAATGGCTAGCATGGTAAATTTGATCAAATGAAACAATGGGGAAAAAAATAAGGAGGCTGGGCAAGAATTTCTCTAAGGTCCGTTTTAGCTATTAATAAGCTTATGACTCTTTGAGGTCAACTAACTTCGGTTAAGTACTGAAAAGAGAAAGTATCTGTTCTGTCAATAGTATCATGTTAAAGGTTACAGGAGTGGGAAGGGCTTAATCAAGTGCTGTAAAACCTCTAATTTGGAACATGTCAAATGATAGATTATTACTGCCATTATTGTTTGCTTTGTGTATATAAAGTAATGAATTCAGATACCATGTTGCTGGGAAGTCTTTAGGGAGCTCTGGTATGCAAACAGTTAAGAACTGCTGTAGGTAACTGATTACAAAGTAAGTGTACAAAAGTAAATACTTTTATATTATTAATAGAAGTTATTAGAGAGAAATCACCTCATTCATCATAGAAACAAAAACTATAAATTACCTAAAATACATCTTTGTACAAGAAATATCCAATGCCTTATAGCAGTTAAAACTGAAAGACATGGAAAACCTGAATAAATCTGCCTGTAAGGAAAGATTCATTATTATAAGGATATCAATTCTCTATAAGTTCAATGCAATTCTACTAAAACTTCCAATGGGAATCTTTTTTTTTTTTGCATCTTAATAACTTTAATTGAAAGGTATATCCCTTAGTAGCAAAACTATGGTAGCTGGCTAGGTTACCTCTGCCAATTCAAAATTAACACAGATGTATTAAAAATATTGAAATATATCAGCCTTTTGGGAAAAGTGAAAAGTTACCCACAAAACATGGTTTACAAAAGTATAAGATATACTGTGGTTCTTTGGTTTATTTTCCAGTTTTTATTTACATATAACATAATGTCAAAATTGGGTACAGCCATCCTGGATGGATTTGGACTGCACACTGCACTGAGTATCCATTTACAACACTTCTAACGTTGTAGGTCTCCTTACACTGACTGACTTAATAGAAAATCCTGAACCCTACCTTAGCAACTTCACAATTATGAAGATGCCTACTTACTTTTCTTAAAATTTTCTTTTCAGCACAGTAGTGGCAACTAGTGAAAGTATATTCTCTTCCTTTTAAACAAAATTCTAATCTAGAAGCAATGGCAGTTTGGGGAATTTATTTTTATGAATTTGGTAAACTGATTTTCGAATTTCTCTTGAAGAGTCAATGTCCAAGAAAAGCCACAAACATTTTGAACCAGAAGAGAGAGAAACAGGTACCAAAACATATTATAAAGCTAAATAAAACTAATGCAGCATGACAGTGTACTGGAATATACACGTAAAACAACAAACTTGACCATCCAGGAACCTACTGCTGCATACACAAGAGTTTTAGTAGGCAACATTTCCAAACAGTGGGAAAAGGTGATTTATTTATATGGCTAACCATTTGGAGGAAAAAATAAGACTGGATATCTGCCTCATGCAACATGTAAAAAATAAACTTCAGAGGGATTAAAGACAGACATTTAAAAACTTTATCCTTAAAAAACTATGTAAGTACTAAAAAGAAAATATAAGACTATGTTATAGCTAGAAGTGAAGACTTTCTAAATAAGAAAGAAAACACAGAAGTTATAAAGATCTGACAAATAAGAATTTTAAAACTCCATATGGCAACTGAAACAAACTAAAAGACAAGTGACAAACTAAGAGAAAATACATTCAATAATTCTTAAAACTATATGCATTAAATTGTAGTATGAAATCTGTGATCAGATTGCCTAGCTCTGACTATCTTGGCTAAATCCTCTTCCCCTTCCCTTATCTTCCTTTCTGCCCTTCTCTCCTTTGTCATCTATTTTGCGTACCTATTCATATGTAGAGGGACACTGTGGGTTGCTTCCACCTTTTGGCTATTGTGAATTGATGCCATGAACACGAATGTAAAAATATTTTGTTTGTATTTTTGGGGGTAAGGGGAGAATCATTAGTTTGTTTTTAAAGAGTAACACACAAGATAACCAAAACAACAAAAAAATCAAACATACAAGCAAGTATAAAAAGAAGTCTCTTTCTCACCCCAGAGCCCTTCCCTTCCCCAGAAGTAACAGCACCAGAAATATTCTATGTACACATGTACATAGAAGTATCTACTTTGCTTTTTTTTTACCACCTAATAATATCTTGCAAATTATTCCATTTCAGCACATACAGGTGAGTCCTACCTGATTTTTTCCCCCTTGATATATATTAATTAATTTATTTAGCTAGTCTACTACTGATAGACACTTATATTGTTGTAGTCTTTTCTACTTGGTCTACCATCTTTGTTCATGTATATGAGTATGAAAAAATACTAGATATAGAATAGTTGGGACAAAGTAAATATACATCAAAAACGGCCACAGCTACTGACAAACTGCTCATCTCAGCCAAGTGTCTGAGTATCTGTTCACTATACTTGGGCACTTTACATAACTACCTAAGCCTTAGTTTCTTTATCTTGAAGTCAGTTTTTTTTCTTAAAATGAGAACATTATCTAGTATAAGTTTCAAATGCGATAATGCATGTAAAGAGTCTGCTACATAGTTATTAAATGTTAACTGCAATGATAATAGTAGTAACATTCTCAATAATGGATACTTATTAGGAATATTGAAGAATGCTTAGAATTCAATAAGCAAAAGGTAAAGTCAGTAGAAAAATTGGTAAAAAATGTTTGGTCAATGTCCAAAAGAGGAAGCATACATAATTAATAAATATATAAAAGGATGTTTACAGTCACAGCTGATAAGAGAATACAGATTAAAACAACACAGTACTCTACTTTTGCCTATCCTATCGGCAAATAGTAAAAAATATGGACACCATGCATGGATATTGAGGGCAGAGGGGATAATCCTCACCCATATACCTTTGATGGAAGTGGAAACTGACATAAGCATAGTGGGAACAATTTAAGGCACCTATAAAAAATTTAAATATACAAAAATACCCTCAGCATTCCCACTTTTAAGAATCTAGCCTATATAAACACTCAAATAACTAAAGGATATACGTTCAAAGATGTTCACAGCA